GTCAACTATTTGCAGGCACTGTCGGGAGATATTCTAATTTTGTCACGCACTGTGCACCATAAACTATATACAATATATGTAAACTATATTCCTAATCAGTTGAAGTAGTTGAAGATGCTCGGTTACCCTCAATTTTTAAGCTTTTGTAATGAAACTGCATTACTTGGCCTAATTTGCATAATTTGTTATATTAACCTCGATCACTTCTATTTTCTATAGTTTTTGGCTTTGATCTTATCAGATATTTCAAGGAAATTCTGTTTTATATAAAATACTATTTTATATAAACCATTTTTGAAGTTGTAGATATAAGACAATATCATATTACATAGGAAGAGTCTGATGGTATCACCATAAATTTTCACATTAGATGTTTTTCAGTTCTTCTTGGGTAGGTTTAATTCATACTTTCACATCCTATTTCGAAGAATACAAAAATTATCTTGAAAAATTGATAAAAATCATATTAAATGGAATTTTACAGAACTGAGACTTCTTCAACATAATTTCTAATTTGAAATCGGAGATTTTATTTAAAAGATATTACATGTTAAGCTTACAGAAATGTCATATTCATTTCGTTGAGCGGCACTGTATGTGAGGTTGTATATAAGGAGACTAATGTTAAATACATGTCTTATCTTAACTTGTACTTCTCTAATGCAAAACCACATCAATCGGTGGTAGTCTGTATCCATAATAGAAAAGAATCCAAGTCTCATATATTTGCCTCAGCTATAACTTAGGCATAAAGCTTTCCTATCAAATCTCAGTTACTCAGCTCTTTGTCTCCAAGTAAATTCCAACTTCTTCTACGCAGCTTGCCTTGTTTTCTACTTAGTCATTTTGTTATCCATCAAATTCCAAACTGCCCCGGCTCTCAGTTTTTTCTTTTTGTTGTTGTTGATGTTTTTTTTTTTTTGTTTTTTTTTTTTTTTTTTTTTTTTTTTTTTTTTGCCTGCTTGCATATTTATGAATCCCTTCGTTCATTCATCTTATCGAGTAAGTTGCCAATAATTTTGCTCAGGATTTTGTCGCTGCTCATTTGCAGTAAAAAGAATATATATAAATATATATATACATACATATTTACATAAAAATATATACTGTATATAGTAGTTATTGCCCTAGTCTGCTCATTGGGGCAACCAGCAAATTGTATTGATTTTAGCTTCGGCAAAATTTTACGAGCCAAGCCAGGCAGCTTAGGTTTTTCAGGTTGTTAAGTGCTCGCCCACAATGTTTGCCTGGCTATCAGCATGGCTTGTAGTTGTTTCACCCTAAACAACAAAAATATATCAAAGCTAAGTGCTCTGGCCCACAAAAATGTTGACAATGTGAATATATTAAGAATGTTTTTGCTTTAAATGCACTTCAAGCGTTTTTTGTTTTAGGTTGTGTCTCAAGAGCTCAAAGAAGTTGTCGAGAATGAGATAAATTATACTGAGAGTAAAGTGAAATACCACTTGGCATCTTCTCCATACATTTTTTTTTATAAATTTAATATCAAAGCTCAATATTTTATATACATAGGTATGATACCTGATTAAAAATTGATTGAGTTTAATTTATAGCGAACAAAGGTCGTGTGATCTTTGTTACACTTATCTATGCATTCTTTATACTCTTTTATATCTTTAGTATTTTTTATACTTTTTAATTGCATCAAGTACTCATAATTGCTAGCTCTAATGTCGTGGCATTTACCTCTTTACACTTTGAATTTCTTACCTTTATTCTTGATTCTATTTACCATCTTTTAGCCAACTCAACAGAGAAACACCTGAAAAATCCCTTTCAACCCTTGCGCCATTAAGAGTAAAATGCATTTTTAATTTGTTTTCCATATAACGTTACAGATTCTTTATTTAGTTTCTTTTTTTTTTTTTTTTTTTTTTCACTTTTCTTTTTTTTATGCATTTTGTTGCTTTTATAATAAGTTTCGTTTAATATAATTGCAGTTGTTGTTGTTTGTATAAATGTGTGTATGTATGTGTGTGTATATGTATGTCTTTGTATATATATGTAAGTGTGTATGTGTGAGTGAGTGTATAATTTGCCTTAACTTAAGATTTCCCACGCACTCGACTGCCGGCTCTTACATAATTTCCCACATAATTTCAACTGGTTTTTCCATCTGTTTTCCATGTAGTTTTCGCATTGCAATTGCCATGGGAATTGTTTGCATTTGCATTTGCTCGCTTTTTTTTTTTTTTTTCTTTAAATATTACTCGTAATTTATTCATAAATTTTTTCTTGTTAATACTAGTTTCCATTTTGTTAGTTTTAATTTTCTTGTTTTTTTTATTTTTATTATTATTATTATTTTTACTGTATATTTAAGTGATTTTACATAATAATGTACTTATATGCAATTTTTTTTATCTAAAACTGCATTTGAAATTGGTTTTTCGGTTTTCTGTATTTCTTTTTTTTCTGGTTTTCCATTTCATTTGACTCAATGGGAAGAATGCGCTTTAAATAGAATTGTGGTTGTTGTTGTTGGTAAAAATGCATACATTATAAATACATAGTTATCAAATAGTATGATGCCTTGCATGTGTCTGTGTGTGTGTGTCCGTGTATATATTTGGATTTTTCTTTATATGAATGCTAGGGTTCTGTTCATTAATTATGTATTTATGTGTGTGTATATGCCTCTAACTTACGTTACAAAATATATAACAAATATCGTGTAAATGATTATATAATGTATTTGCGCTCTACCAAGAACTTCTTATTTTTTTTGCTGCTCTCAATATAAAATATTTGATAACTATTTTGGTTTTCGACTGCAATTTGTTTCATAATTATAAAATAGAATTTTTATATTTAGTTATAATTAATATACTAATGCAAAAGTCTGTATATAGTCAAACCGAAAACTCTTTGCCGAAATAAGCAAATAATATTTAAAATTAATTTTCGTTGAATTTAGATTTACTTTTACTTTGCTGAAGTCTTTTCGAAAATAATATTGTTAAATTGGCAGTGATTTCATAAATTTGTTAAAAGTGTTTACATTTTGTTGCTGTACCGTGTTCTGTTTTTTTATTTCATTTATTTTTTCTTGCAAAATATATTTATGTAGCCCCGAAGTCAAATAGAAAATACTATTTTCCCTCTTGTTGCTGTAGCTAGATTTTTATATTGATTTTTTTTTTTCGTTTTTATTTATTTTGTATATATTTTTGTAACAGTTAATGTGCATTAAAAATTGTCTTGAATTGGAAACAAGTACAGCAAAGTGTTGCATTTATTTGTAGTTATTTTGTTTTCTTCATTATTTTTAAATATTTTGTTTTGTTTTCTTTAATATTTCTTTCGCTGTATGGTTTAACAATTACGTTAAAATCTTTGCACTTTTCAATAGTCAACTCGAGTTGCAGTATGTGTTTTGTTTTTGTGTATATATTTTTTCTTTTGTTTTCTGATAAATAAAATCAACACAAAATTATTTAGGAATTTGGGCAGTTTGCCTGGAAAACGCTATGATTCATGCATGCACTTGTTTTTTTGCAGTGTAATTTTTTTTTTTTTATAATAATTATTATTTTTTCTGTACTTACGGTTCAATTGATAAACTTGGCTGACTCATTAATGCACAAACAGAATTGAATGAAAATAATAACACATGAAAATCAACAAAGATTTGGCTTTCCATTTGGTTAGCTTTATCTGTTCACTTCCCTCATCTATATATAATCAACTACATGGTATATGCTATATATGCGATCAAATGAAACAATAAACATTTGGATTATTATTGTTATGATTATTTTAAATTGCACTGCGGAAAACCGAAAACCTAATAAAGAATCTGTATAAAATATTAAAAAAAAAAAAAAAACAAAATATTTATTTTTGCGTAAAATTTTTCGTTTACCTCTGTATTTTCTCGTGTGGAAAAAGTTAGTTTTAAATGCAGTTGGCTTTCTTTTATTTTTGTACGAGTAGTATATTTGTATATATTTATATGAAATGTGTTTGCTTTTGCTTTCTATATATATATATATATATATATATATTCCTGCTCGAATGGTGTCTGCAATATGCTGCCCTCGTCTTGAATCGTTTTCTAGTTTAAATGACTTAATAAGACTTTTTTAGGTTCTGCTACCAATTTCGTATGCTTTTAATTACTTTTTCTTTTTTTCAGTTTTTACGTGCTAAAAACTAATAATATATACAATGTAAAATACTTTGCTTTATCATTATACGTTTTTCTTATAAATTTCGTTTCTTTTTTTTTTTTTTTTCTTTTAAGTATTTCCATTTAATTATATCAATTGCGCTAAGTTCGTCTAAAGGTAAATTTTCTTTTTCTTTTAATTGTCTTCAGCTGCTGCTCGACACGATTTTCGTTTTTCATTTTAGCTTAAGTTTCTTTTGCTTTAGAATATCATTTAGGAGTATTTTCTTCATGAGATGTATTTTTGTCTTTAAAGAAACGGGTATTTCGAAATACTTTTCGATTTAGTTCTTCTCTTTTAGTATTTTTCCTTTTTGTAACGCCCCGTCCAATACCAGTTAAAATTGTGTTTTTCTTTAAATTTATTTATAAATGTATTTTTTGTTTTGCTTTGTGTATATATGTACTTGTTATGATGGAACGAAAACAGTCTTTGGGTATTCCTTTATGTAAATTTTAATTATGTTCTTTAATTGTAAAATCTTAAACAGTTAGTCGAACTCAAAAACAATATAATACTCATTGTTTAAATCAACTTAAGAAATAAACTTGACTTTTCTCTTAGCCAAAGAAGTATAAACTAAAAAGTACTTAAAATTATTTATTTATATAAATCATAATCATAATTACATATATCGCAAAACCTAAAAAATAATATGCACAACAAATATATATAAAAAATTTGCATTTTCCATTTTTCATTTTCACACAAAATAATTATTTTTTTTTCGGTCTAAACTAAACTTTGGTATGCTCTGCTCCAATACTCAGATCCTTAAAAATTTCTGAAAAAATTCTTTCAACCGAATTTTAGCGTTTCTTTCTCACTTTATCTTTTTCTTTCTCTCTCTACACACACTTAATAAATTAATTATAATAATTGTTAAATTTAAATGCTGATGAAGTATTTTTTACAAATGTCATTTCAAGTGTCAAATGTGTTTGATTTTTTAAAATGTGTTTTCTCATCTGTTTAATCTTATCCATTGTTTAGTTTTTCGTTTAACTTAGGTTTCCTTTTTAGTTTTCTTTCTGCCATACTTCTTTGGTTGCGCTTCTTTGTGTTGTTTCGAGTTGAGCTGGAAAATCGTTTCCCCATTTGATTTTGCCTAACCTCAATAGTAGAATTTTTAAATGCAACTTTTGTGGCTATTCAACTGCGTTTGCCTCACGCATCTCGTGATCTTCTGCTTTGCCTCGCTACTCTTCTTACTTTATGGCGGGAGACTTACAATTCGAGCTCGGTATTATGTGGATTGGGCGCTTCGGGGCCATACATATTGGCCAGCTTATCGAAACGCGGACCCCAGGCACCGAGGTAGTCGTACTCCTGCTGCTCATCGTCGGTGCCTGCAAAGAATATAACAGAAAATATAAAGTGTTATACGCGGAATGCCATATGGGAAATGTGATATTTGTAAATAAAATGATGTACTTCGAGTGATATATTTGGTATTTATGATATTTGGTATTTACTTAATTTTACACCCAATATTCAGCGGTTTTTGAGTCTTGCTGCCATGCTGCAAATGTCAGAAAAATAATAGAATTTAAGTCAAAGACGAGTTCTGCTAACATCTTGAACTACTTTGTGTAGCATACATTGTTGGGGATACATCAAGCACATCAGCTACAATGCGTTTGTTGTTGTGGCATTTGCCGCGTAATATTGGGTGCAAAATCTAGTCATGGTGAGCTGTTATAAATGCTAATCATATAATCTATCTATATACATATATATGTATATGTATGCCGACAAGTGTTAACCCACCTGAGGCCAATGAGCTAAGCGAACCGGCTGTGCTGCCGCCGCCCTCATACGCATAATTGCGCAAATCATCGAAGGGCGGGGCATTCGGATCGCCATCGGCACGCTTTTTATGCTCCTCAATGAACATGCCCACATTGGGCTCCTGGCCGGGCATCAGCGTCATCACGGGATCTGTAATGAAATGTAGAAAAAATAATATATTTTTAATGAAATTTGAATGAAATATTACAGCGGAAAATAATTTCGGCAAAAAACTAAGCTATATAAAAAGTAAAATAGAATTTTTATTGAATAAAGTTTCAATCTCAACTTGGCTTAATATGTTCAGTGAAGTAAATTTTGAAGTTTCTTTAAGCAGTTGTAATAAAATCAGAATGCGGAGTTGGAAATTTAGTTAATATTCTTAATCAGAGAAATACTTTACACTGCAATATAAGTAGTGCGAGCTCTTTTTTAAGATACTATAATTATCTGTCTCTATTCAAGTGAAAACTTTAAATTTCTAACAGTTATCTGTTATACGCATCAGCAGCTTCATTTTGGGAGAATTTTCACTTCTGATTGGAAATTTCAATCAACTGAAAAGCTTGCGGCATTTTATGTTGATTTACTTTTTGGGCGTTTTTTTTTTTTCAAAAGATTTTATTCGGGTCTTACCACTGGCGTTAATGGATATTAAATATACTTACACATAATTGGCATTTTCATAGGCGCCAATTCGGGCGGCATGGGTCCGCCGATTGGTATCTGCAGTGGCGTTATATCAAAGGCGGTCATGTCATCCTCGCCGCCGCCCTCATCATCATAATTGATAATATTCTCGCGGACATCGTCGTCGGGTCCCGGATATTTGATATGCGCCTCGCGCCGTCGATTGTAGACCACAAATACGAGAACGAGTACTGTGCGAATAAGCCAAAATATTCTCATTAGATACGAAAATTATGCCAACATTTTAGTACCTAGCTGTATGAAATGCAACAACAATTTGTGCAGCTACGACTATATTAAAGACAAATATAAATATTATTTGGGGCATGCAAAGTGAGTCGCTTGAATGCCAAACTGAACTTCAGCAATTTTGTGGAAAAATATTTGAAATAAAATTTGTGCTCTTTGCGCGCTTTACAATTGCAAAAAAGGTTCTTAATTAAATTCTTGGAATGAAAATAAAAAATGGAAAATAAATAGAAACGCAAGGAATGGAAAAAATATATATATTTATGTTTATATATGTATAGAGAGCTATTCTTATATATATGCGAGCTTTTTATAAAAAATAAAAGAAAATGGTAAAGAGGAAAAAACGGATGTAAAAGTGTATAATATGTTGAATGCCAAAGTTCGTATATCCTAGGCGAAAGCGGGTCGATGTAGAGTATGCAAAATTTAGAGAGTAAGAATGGATTTGTCAATTAACTGTTAAATTTATTTGAGATTTGTTCTTAAGCAAACACAAATAAAGATATGAAACAATTTTTCAACATGATTATAAAACCTTACTATAAAGACTATATTTACATATAGTAAGAGCTGTTTGGCATATATACCTGAGGACATTGATATATTATCTAGATAGATAGCTGTGAGAAATTAGAGATCCAAGCAGAGAAGTAACTGAACAGCAAAATTATCCGTAATAAATATTACCATCGCAATTTTCATAACAAATTTAGATCTGAGTACGCCTGAACGAAACTACTTAGAGTTCATTAAATATTTGTGCTGAAACTTTTGAATTTTATATTTAATTTTTGTAAGCTCTCTCAACTTGGTTTCAGTTTCGTTTCACGTAGCATGATCAAATTGTTATACCTCTTGACATTAGGGCAGTAGAATGAGCAAACAAATATGGCGCACATTGTCCCAGTTTTTGCTTTGCTCTCACTTCCGCTTTCACTCCGTTCCATCCTCTACGCCTTCTGTCTCTCACTCGCTTTGTCTACTGTTGGCGGCTGTAACTGTAACTGCCACAGTGCCAGCCTAAAATTGCTAGCCAAAATGGCAAAATCAAGCTGCAGGCAAAGTCGACAGTCAGGCAGGAGGCTGGCAGAAGGCAGCAGGCAGGAGGCAGCAGGAGGCTGTTGATATTGTCCTTGCTTTATTCGGACCAACTTGTTGTGTGCTTTTGGCATTCGTTTCATTTTGCTTAGCTCACATTGCTGTTGGCTGTTGTTTCGTGTCTTTTGCTGCTCTTTTCTAATTTCGTGTGCGCGTTGCTTCAACATATTGCAGCATCTGTTGCACAGCGTAAAGTTTTTCGACTTATTGCGACTGAGCAGCCGTAGAAGTTTTGGCCCCCCAAGTAATTTGCTGCGGGTTCTTGAATGTCAAAGCGGGACAGCGAGAAGACGAGTGCGAAAGAAAGAGAGAGAGGCGGACAGACAACAAACAAAATAAAACTTTTGCCTAGCAGCTGGCATTGGCTGAAATGGACGTCGCGTAATTGCAATTATTATTGTGTTACTCAAATTCGCATTTCTCTTTAGCTTTCTCTCCACTCTACAGCTGACATTTTGCAACAACTCTCCACACATACATATATGTACATATGTATATACATATATTCGCTTCGCCTGTTCAATAAACTTTAATTTATTTGCATCGGTCGGCCGTAATTTGTAATTTACGGAAATGACTTTTGATGCTTGCCTCACGACATCGATCTCTGCCTCTGTCCCTGTTTCGTATAAATGTTTTTCTTTTTTTTTTTTTTTCTGGGCGTGGCCCAATTGGTAAATGTATGGCTTAATTAATTTCCAGGCCTCGGCGATTTCATAAATATTTAAATGACATATGCATGCCGCCGTTTAAACTGCCTACAAGAGCCATAAAAACACAAAAATGGAAAATTAACATTTATATTCTGTCTTTAATGCGATTTCACAAATTGAACATGAATCGAGGCAATAATGTAAAGGGATTAAACGCGATAGAGCGGGAATAATGTATAGTCAAATGAAGTTATGCATACAGTAGAATCCGGTTATAACGACTCCGCTTAAAACGTTCAACCGGTTAAGTCGACGGGAATTCGATGTCTGGCTTGATCCCCATACAAACTTATATGAAAGAGCCTCCGCTTAGTACGTTTCCGCTTTTAACGACTATCCGCTTAGCCCGACTATTTTTATCTTTGCATATTTTTCAATCAAACGCCGGCTATAACATACAGCGTAATAAGGACAAAGCATTTAAGCATAATAAGCTGCTGTACATATGTATGTATTTGTCAGTGATCAGTACCCTTTTTTGTGACAGAGACAGAGAGAGAGAGAGAGAGAGAGACAAACTGCAATGCTAATGAAATAAATTTAAACAATTTATTCATTAAAGAAATGAAATTGCTTTACGTTAAAACCTATTACGAACATGGCAACCGTAAAAAATAAAAAAAAATATTTTGTTTCTCCTTTTAGTTTAAGCGTCTTCCGGGTATAGCGCGAAAATCGTCGGTCGCTTGAGCGCCGTTATAACCGGATTCCACTGAATATAAATTTAAGTCGTTATGGAAATAATAATATTAAAATAATAATTTTTAGAAATTAAAGAAAGGAGAGTTGAGAGCAAAGAATATTAATGATTTACTTCAAGCTAGACAATTAGTATGTATTTTAATTTAGTATTTATTCATATGAATTTTAGTAGTAAGTTTCTGTTATTTGGGAAACAATAATAATGAAATAAAAAGTACTGGAAATTAATTATATATATATATATATAGACAAAAGCTGAGATGCAATATTTAGTAAGTATTGTAAGATAAACAATTTAATGTAGGTATATTTAATTTAGTATAAAAAATATGATATTTTGGTCATGCATATTTTGTTGCTAACGTACTCACGTCGCAGACTCGCTTCCACTCAAATACTAAGCATATTTGCTTAAAGCTACTTAACCTTAAGCCCCGGCATATTGACCGGCGTAGCCTTGGCATTCATATATATATATAGAGGGAGAGAGAGAAAGGGAGAGATACTTACGTAGCAGTGTGCTGAGACAGAGCACCAGGGCAATAATAAAATCACGGGATGGTGTCAACACCCCCGAGGCCAATAATTCCAGTTCGCAGTGCATGCCGGTGAAGCCCAGAGGACAATGGCATTCATACTTCTTGGGCGGCTGATGATCGCGACAGCGGCCCCCGTTGCGGCAGGGGTACAGGAGGCATTCGTTTTCGTTGACGCAACTGCTGCCAGAGACTTTATAGCCCGCAGGACAGCTAAACGTGACAACGATAATATAACGTAACGCGAACGTAACGCAACGTAACGCAGCGTAACGTAACGTTCAAGTTGGGTGTAGAGTTGAGTGTGTTGGTTTACATTTACATATATAAGAATATATATATGGAAAATAAACAGTGTTGGAAAACAAAAATAAAAAAAGAGATTATTGAAAATTTGTTGTACATCATGCAAGGCAATGTGTGATAGTTGTGCTCAAAGTGTTGTGAAGTTACCCACAGACATGATATATTTATTTTTTTTTTGTTACTCTTTGTTTTATACATCGTAAAACTTATCCAACACTTTTTCGGTCGCAGTTATGAAAATGTAAATTTTCCGTTGAGCACACAAGTGTCAAAAAGTGTCTTAAAGAATGTTTGTTTGTTGTTGGGTTTTGTTACGTTTGCTGTTATTATTTTACGCTTTGGCGCATTTCCATTCACAATTTTCAGTTTCCTTTTTTTTTTTCTGCTGCTAACTTTATGCATTTGCGTGTGTGCTGAGAGATTTCCTAAGTGCACTTTTGTCTCACACTTGCGTTTGTTTTTGTTTGTCTGTTTCTTGTTTTATGATTATTATTATGCACTTGTTGTTGGCAGAATTGAATAAAGTTTTCAGCGTGTGTTGCGTTTGACATTTTGAATGCATTTGGCATTTGCTTAAGTTTTGTTTTGATTAGTTTAACCTCAACCTACAATTGACAGCTGCTGGCTTGGCTCTTGGAGTTCACCCTCAACTGTAACCTAGACACAGTTCGACATTTACTTTGCATTCGAAATTTGCAAGAGTGCTGAAAAGCTATTAACGCAAAGTTTTCAAACCGATTATTATTGGGGAGATCCTAAAACATTATTATTATTATTTTTTTTTTTTTCATTTTGTCAAAAACTTTAGCTTTTGATTTTCATTTCATTTTCCACTTAGCTGCTTCTATTCTCAGCTGTGCGCGAAATGCAAAAACAATGCCATCAAAAGTAGAGAAAAAATTTGTTTGCCTCCAACATTTGGTCCCATGCATAAGTCCAAACTGATAACAAAATGGAGAGAAAAAAGCAGCGCGAAAGTCAACAGACTTTGCGGCTGAATACTTTTCAAATGCAGACATAAGACACTTTTGATATATTGACGATTATTGGCAAATACCAGAGACTTCTTGACCAACGAGCCAACAAATCGCACAAAAGCGCCGCACAGCGGGCATCGGCAGCGGGAAGTGTGGGATGTGGGGGAAGTGAGGCGGCCCAGCAGAGGCTGAAGCAGAAGTCAAAGCTAAAACTTTCACACTAAATCAGCGACAGCAGCAAAAAGTAAAAAAATGTTGCATAGTTTTTTGCGCTGTGCCTTTTAGTGATTGCTCCCAAGTGCGTAGTTGAAGCTGATCAAAAACTGGGCGTTTTGATATAGAGTATATACATACAGACAGACATACACACATACACACACACATTTATATATAGACATATATAAAGTTTTCGGGCTTGTCCAGTTGTTGGGCTAAACTTTGCCATATTTTACGCCATTAAGTTTTACTTAGAGTTGGCATGAAACAATTTCTGTCGATACCCTGTAGATAAGGCAGATGCTTGAATGGGTGTAATAGTGAAAAATAGGCTATCTTAAATTTGATATCTATTTTATACATTTTTTCGATAGTTTTGGAAATTAATAAGAATATGTAAAATTAATTAAAATTGCCTGTAAATATTTTTGAATCAGTAAATAAACATATCAAAAATATATGCTCTTTATAAATTTACATAAAAAAAAATATGCTGTTCGATTATTCACATACTCCTGTTTATTAAGTGAATAAACAAAATTGAAAATAATTTCTTTGTAATTAAATTGTGTTGATATAATATTTTTTTATTATATTGAAAATACTCTGTTTCTAATATAATATCATTTCTTATTTATACCGATCAGCACACCCTTCTCATCTTTTTAAAGGGCATCTGTCTGTGTAAAATGCTCATTCTAACAGTTTTAGTTGTTTTAACCTCGTATTCCACTTCTTTGAACATTATTTACCTACAAAATGTTTGCTCGAAACTTGAACTGTATGCGTGAGTGTGAGTGGGTGTGTGTGTGTATTTATATGTGTGTTTAAGCGTACACTTGGCTACGCAGCGGAAAATGCTCTTAAGTTGTATTTGAAAAGAAAAGAAATCTTACAGGCAGCAGCCGAAAAAAAATTTAGTATAAGCATATATATATATATAGGTATATATATATATGTATGTATATAAATGTGTATGTGAAATGTCCGCAAATCCTTGCGCGACTTGCCAAATGAAACTGGCTGTCGCTTCGAGCCGCAGATCTGCGAACTGGAAGCTGAGCTGCGCAGCAGACGCAGCAGAAGTCAGAAGTAAACGTTCTTGACTCCCGGTTGACTGCTGTACTACGTATTCGTCTGTTTGTTCAAGTGGATTTAGTGCATCGTGATTTTTCCAAATGCCAAAGCTAAAATCAGCCATTGCTCTTTCACTTGTCTGCGCCTGCTTTGTGTGTGTGTGTGTGTGTGTGTGTGTATGTCTGACTGCACATTTATTATCTTACCTGAAGGCATTTAAGCTCTTCAAGACACACTGTACTTGGTTTCTTTGAGTGCAGCTTACAAAGTATACGCAAGGTGAGATAGAGTAAGGTTGTGTGTGTGTCCATGTGTGTGTGTGTGTGTGACAGCTAAAGTACGTGATATGTGTGGAAAAATTGCATAGTCCTTCGGTGTTCAGTAAGTGCACTTAAAGCCCTATCTTAATTATTTTTTCAAGAGCTCTTACAAAAAAATATTTGCGCTGCGCAATTTATGTTATATATCATAAGAAATCTGTTTGTTCAATTAAATAATAATTCCCTTGTTGTATTGATATTCAGTTGAGAATTTTAACGTTTTGCTTTGTAAACTCAGTAATTCAATTTCAAAAAGAGAAATTGTTCTGTGGCGCATCATTATGTTTAGTTGTTAGTTGGTTAATGTTTCAATATGGTTTACATCTAGAAATTAAAGATTATTATATTTAAAAAACAAGTATATATTGACTAATGGAATGTGGCTTTTGCGAAATGGGTCTGTTCGTTTGCACAAATTGAGTTGGTATTATATAGTTAGTGTGTGCGAGGTAGAGTCTGAGTAGACATTAAAAATATATAAATGAATATCGAGAGAAGAGCGAAGAATTAATTTAAGAGCTTGAACCAAAAAATGAAAAACTTGGACTTTTAATTGATTGATTTGATTGCTATTGACTTCCTCTTTTCTTACATATTTGATGTATAGTTTATTATTATAGACTCCATGGATTTACCATAAATCTTTTGGGAACAAAGCAATATAGAAATACCTAGATTTACCCAATTAACGGGTACTTTTAAAACTTGAATGCAATATTTAAATCATTTATAATGTATATATCACATATATTGTCATGATTCAAGTGAAATTGTAAGAATATAAATTCGAAAAACTTTAAATATATTTTAATTTGTTAAATAACGTATAGAACTTATTAAATTTCAAAAATATAGAATTCAATTTTTATTTTATTTTATTTTTTTTTTTAATTTAGATTATTTGGTATTAAAAAACGCAACTACATTTATGTAAGTACATACCTTTTGAGTGGGCAATTTTCTTGAGATTCATTAAAGTATAATTTGCTATAAGAACTATATATTTATATATATGTATATATTTACACAGATTACGAACAAACAGTGAGACAGAAAGACAACTATGAACATTTGTGTGGAAACAGTTAACAAAAATTTGTGCCATAAACAAAATGTTGAACGTTAACAGCGATTGATGTTGATGGAATGCAGATGAATGTGAAATAACAAAACTAAAGATACATATATACATACATACATGTATGGTATATGTATGTATATATATATTGATTTTTGCTATATTTTTTATTTTATTTTATTTATTTATTTATTTATTTTTTTGGGAGAACAAGTAAATACAAAAGTCACACGACTGATAAATATCCGAGTTGAATTTACTTTTTTGTGATCAAATAAAAGAGATTTAATATTCAGTGAGCCGTATTTTTTCAGTTTTGTTGGTTCTGGTTTTTGTTTTATGAATGAATTGATGCATGTGTAGCGGAATGATTGGATTTTGTGCATTTGACATATGTATATGGGGCATGATGTTAAATATGATGTATGTGAACCAAATGAGTTTTCAATTGAGGCAACATATTTCAAGTGGGCGGGGCAAATGATAAGTCAGTATATGATTTAATTGGGAATGTATGTATGTATATGCTAGACGATATATGATATATGATATTTGATATGAATGCATGAATTTGCACAGCTAATAATTGGAAAAGAAGTTAACTAAACTAAAGGCAGGCGCTAAAGCACTAATTGCTAACTCTATTTATATGTTATATAGTAATAAATATATGGACTTGTTGTTGTTGTTGTTGCATTTGTAGCTAGATATTTATATAGATTAGGTAACGGTTGAATTGGCTCACTCAGTATGATCAGCAGGCAAACGAGTATGGCCGCCAGGGCGCCCATGCTCAGCTTGAGGGTCTGACCCTCCTGAACCAGCTCACAGCTCTCGCCCCAGAAGCCATCGGGGCAGATGCAGCGATAGCGCAGACGCGGCTCTAGATTGATGCACGTGGCACCGTTCATACAGGGCATATCGAGGCATTCGTTGCGATCCATGCAGCCCTTTGAGTCGGGCGACATGATGCGTCCCTCGCCGCAACTAAATTAACATTAGCAATCGCATTCGATAGTCGAAAGTGTATGGTAAGTTAACATGGGCTTTACATATATGTACATATATATATATATATATAGAGGTCTGTATATGTTTTAGGGTCAACGGAATGTGTTTATTTATTGGCAACCGAAAATACAAATTGGCTTAAAAAGGGGTCTAAACGTGTGTCCATTAACCGATTGCTTAGCGAACCAAAAAGGAAGCTGAAGCCCAGTCTGAAGGCTAATAAGAAAATGCATATGTAACTAAAGAGTAAAACTTAAACTCAGTTGGCTAATAGGGAAATTGATATATAAATGTAGGTTATTTTTAGTTTTAGTTAGGTTTGCTGGTAAGTGCCGTTACGTCTTCTCTATAAACTGCGCTTAACCGTTTGTCCATTTGCGTTGCGATAAATCGATAATTAATCAAAGCGTAAATATCTAATCAAGTTCAAGTGTTTATTTGTGTAATTAATTGTAATTGCTGCTCGCTTGCTTAGCCGTTAACTGTTAGCTGTTTCGCAAACTAGCCCGCTGCAGCCATTTAACGTGTTTGCTCTGGGCCAGCAAATCTTTCAGCCAACAGCGAAAGCGGAAGCCAACTCAGCAACGTCACGCTTCGACAGTGTTGCGAAATACCACAGAAATGTATATATAAATGCTTGCTATGCTATGCTGTAGTGTGTGTGTGTGAGTGTGTGTAGTCGTGTAGCTGGTGCCTGGTGGAAAAAAAAAATATAGCGTGAATATGTACAGTTGCGTTCAGGTGATTGAGACAAGACCATATCGATTTGTGCCTGCCCTAAACCTAATCCGATTGATTTGTCACGCAACGTTAACAGCCGCCCGCTAACTCAGTTTCATTTGTCTGTGTGTGCGTGTGTGTGTGTGTGTTTGCTGTAGCAGACGGAGGCGGCTGTTCAACAGACTGGCAACGCCAATTGATTGACGTGCACTAAGCTGCCGTTGACTTGGCACAAATTCGACTTTTTCTCTTTTTTTTTCTGTGTTGTATTTTTGGTATAGCCTTTAATTGATTAATCCTATCAACTGTTGGTCGCCAATTGTCGTGCCACGAATTTATGGTATTTTTTGTTTTTTTCATTTGTGTGCTCTATTCCTTCTTTAAAGTAATTTTATTTCATTTTTCTTGATCACAGCCTGAGTTGTGGCTTTGATTGTTAACTTATTGAATTTCGGTATTTTCTTGGGCATTTTTATTCATGGGTATTAAATATGAAGAACTTTTTTAAAGTAATATTAATTTTTGAGCTGTATTTCTATAAGCTCATCAAGTGCAGCAAATTTCTGTATTTTTATTATTAATTTTTGTTGTTGGTATTTTTGTATGATTGGTATTTTTTTTTTGTACTAGTTCCCTAGTATTGGTAATTACTAATTGTAAATAAAATTTCATTGGAGTACTTTCTTTTAGTCATTTTTCTTGTACGCAGTCCGAGTCAAGGTTTTCATTACGAGTAACAAAAAAGAGAGCAATGTGTGAATGTGTGTGTGGGAATTGAAACAGATTTGATATTGAAACTAAATAAACTTACGTGCACTCATAGACATTCCAGAGATCCACACACTCGAAGGGATCGGGGCAAATGACATTCGAGCAGGGCTTGTTCGAGGGGCAGCCCTTCTCCAGGTTGCGTGCCATGGTGGCCTGACCCCACTGCGTGCCGTTCATGGCCGGCGGCAGGGGCAGGTGTTTGCCCTCCAGGCTGCATTGGGGTAGAGGAAAAGAAATTGGTTATCAATTATGCAAATTCTATAAAGGGCAGTCGATTGGCAATCCCAAGGGGATTATAAAAGCAGCTAGGTTAATTACAATCCCATTATTAGATAAGAAATTTCCATAAGCTGTTGAGTTGATGTTAAGTATATATTCAGTATACGCACCGTATATCATCGAGGCAGCTCTTCTGGTAATCCGCATACACCTCAAATGTGCGCACGCCCGTGTACTCGGCCTTGCCGCCCGCATAGACGCCCTCCTGCTTGTCGACCAGCAGCCACTGGTGGCCCACAAACTCGAACGTCTCGTTGTAGCGCCTGCCCTCGCCGCCGTCCAGCTCCAAGGTGGCCGCGGAGCCGTAGCGATTGATGCGCACCACATGCCACTGGCCATCGTTGACGGCCACCGAGTTGAGCCACAGATCCTTCTCCTCGGTGCGCAGCGAGTTCAGATTGTAGCGGAAGTGCAAGCGCGCATCCTTGATCTCCAGTATGCCGTACTCGCGATTGTGCTGATCGCTCACCCGGAACAGCTCGCCGTGCTCCTCGCGCGTCCGGAATCGCAGCTGCACTTGGGTGCTGAAGCGATCCGGCTCAAAGCTGAGCGCATACTTCACGTAACTCTGCGCCTTGAAGGTCGTCGGCACCGTGGGTATATTGCACGCGGGTCCCGTCCAGCCGGGCCGGCAATGGCAGCGCGCCTCGGACAGGGAGCCCACGCAGTTGCCGTGCTCCCAGCAGCGAGCCGTTGCCTCCGTTTGGGCGCACACCTCCTCCGTCTGTGGGCAGCCGGCAACGCTGTTGCGCGAGAGTCCTGGATGGGCCAGATCGTAGAGCTTCGAGTTGTGCACGAGATTCCTGATGCAGCCATCGAAGCCCTTCGCTGTGGGCATATAGTGCCAGAAGTACAGCGACTGCTCGAACTGCTCTCTGTAGAGGCCGCCCACCTGCAGCGGGGCGTTCACATTCAGATACTCATTGAAGGGCGGTATCTGGCCGCGTGCCTGGCAGGAGGTGTCATCGAATTCGGGTGGCGTGCCGTCCTCCATTTCGCTGATCTCGGCCGACTTGCAAAAGTCAACAACCATGCGCACATCCTCCGTATCCCAGAAGAGATCGATGCGATGCCACTCGCCGTCGTCCAGCGTCTTCTTCGTCTTCACGCGCAGCTCCAGGGTGCCAGAGCCGAAGTCGATGAGCAGCCGTGGATAGCCACGTTCCAGCTCGAGGGCTATAAAATCAGAGATCAGCATCTCATCCCGCTCCGGCGGCACAATGGGTCCATTGTAGATGATCAGGCCGTCCGGCTTGCGGGTTATGAACTCCAGACTCAAGTGCGACTGGTCGCACATCTCGAGCGGCGGATACCAGGCCCAGCCGTTGCCGCGGAAGCTTCGCGTCGTCTGCTGGCAGCGCGGCCCCGTATAGCCCACCGGGCAGGAGCAGTGCGGGCCGAAGCGCGTGTCCACACAGCGTCCGCCGTTGTGGCAGGGCGTGCTGCGGCACGATTCCGGTTTGCTGAAGTTGCGCGCGCCACAGGTGCAATCAGCCAGCGTGTCCACGCGCACGCCCACCAGCGCCGTCTTGTTCGCATTCACCATGTAGGGCAGGGGGCTGATCTCCAGCGAGTTGGTGCAGCTGCCCTCGCACATCTGGTTCTCGTAGAGGCACTCGTCGATGCCCACCATGGTGATGTTGATGCCCACATCCTTCTCGATCTCCTCGCGATGCATCAGCACAATGCCGTTCAGCCGCACGGGCTTGTAGTAGGGCGAGCCGTGGGCGGAGAAGCGGACATCGGTTAGCGGTGGATTGCGACGCTTCAGCTGCACACTGAATATGTCGACATTCTCACGCTCCGTATTCAGGAGATCCGCCAGCTTGTCCCTGAACCTGTCCAGCTTGGAGCGACTCAGGCTCTGGGTGCGATAGTTCCAGACACGTATGAAGTCCTCGTCAGAGATGCCCGACAAGCGCACCGAGCCCGAGTTGATCACCGCCTCGTGTGGGATCTCGCGCACCATCACGGTCACATTGGCTGGCACATCGGTCTGGGTGTGCTTGCGATCGTAGACCTTGAAGCGCAGATGGTAGCGGCCCTCGCGGGTGCCGGCGCGCATGGTGACCATGCCGGAGTCTTCGTCCAGCTTGAAGCGCGGATGCTCCTGGGCCTCCCAGTAGAACTTCTTGTCGGGCAGGTCCCAATCATCCAGGTCGTAAACGTAGACACGGCCAATGGGCGTATCGGGCGATTGGCCCTGATAGTTGTACACGAATATGTCCTTGGAGCCTGGCTGCATCTTGTTGTCGTTCACATCGCCAATGATCACGGTCAGCGTGCTGGTGCCTGTCATGGCGGGCGAGCCATGGTCCTTGATCACAATGGGTATCATGTACTCCTTCTGCTGCTCGCGATCAAACGACCGCAGCGAGGATATAACAGCCATGCCGTCGCCGTTGGCGCCCTCTGTGAATGGGTAGAGAATAGGGGGAAATTTTTCAATTAATTGAACTCTTCGCATGCCAGAGGAGGAACTAAACTAGAAATGAAATAATGTCTAAAAATCTATAAAAGTAAATCCTTTATACCAGGGCATAGTTAAACGAAATTCTATACTTATAATGTAATATAATAATATATTTTAAAGCATTTTTATTATAGTATTATCTAGTTATACCCTGAACCCATTGAAAAAGGGAAATCAGGGTATAATGGTTTTCACTTCTGTTTTTGTTTTTCTGTGTAGACCTCCAATGAAAAATATCTATAAAATTGATGAACAAATAATAATAATACAAATAATTTTTAATATATTCTTGAGTCGGGAAAAATTTCCTACTAACGGAGATATATGTATTTTTAAGTCACTTTTTGTTTCAATGGTTAATATTAATACTATTATTATTATTATTATTATTATTATTATTAATATTATTAAAATTTTTTTTTTTTTTTTTTTTAAATATTTTTTTTTTTTTTTTTATCTATACTTAATTGACTCTAACTTTAATTGGCATATTTTCAATCTCTAAGAGCATCAACAATTTATTATTTAGTAAAAGCATACTTATTCGGAGAATTTTCACAATGTTGCTAAAAGAAATATCATTTCAACATTTCCTATATTTAATGTTAATTATATAAAGTACATTTGCTTTCAGCAAATGCTTCAGCTGAACTCTTTGAGTGCTGAATGCACAAGCCATTGGATAATAAGAGCAATCCCTTATGGTAAACTTAGTTTTTGTGTTAAGCTTTTAAAAGCATTTTCTAGTTAATTGTGTCAGGGCAGTGGCTGATGGTTGTGCGGGTGGGGGAGGGGGTGAATAGCAAACAAGCTGAACCTCAAAAAGTGAGCACCTTTATTAGTAGTGCTCACGTTTTCCGGTTGATTGCGATGGTAGTAGCTATAGGAAGGTATCCCTTATCCCATTTGTTGTAATTACGCTTGGGGGGCCAACAAGTGTTAAGTCTCAGGCTATCCCCCTGCCTCTCTCTCCATCTCTCTCCCCCTCTCTGACTCTTTATCTGTGAGCATGCGGCAAGTCGCATACGACAAATGTCATTGCTAATCCGTATTACCGCTAGCCACGCCCACGTGCCAGAGCACACGCCCTTCTCCAGCACAGTCTGCATTTTGGTGTGGCAAGCTCGCTCAGTGCCTCCAATTGGGCCAGCGCACATTTCAAATGTATTTTTAAAGACACTCCATGGTGTGTTTTTAGGCAAATTGTATGCAAATACCTTGAAGTCGGCAAGACCAACACACACACACACGTACACATGTACACACACATTCGCACATTGCTACTACTACCACTACACACACACACACACAAAGTCAAGCCAGTAGCGTCGAAAGTTTTTCGAGTCCCCGTTGGCGCATTAAAATTGGATTGCCACCCACACTACATATACAGACAGAGAGAGGGAGAAAGAGAGGGAGAGGGAGAGAGGAAGAGAATGAGAGACTTTGTCTCAGTGGTCGCTCAACTTGCTGTTGAGACCAATTTTTCGTGGCTAATTTAATTGAAAACTTGAACATTTGATATTTTATTTTTGGACTGGACAGGTGTGTCTGTGTGTGTGTGTGTGTGTATGTGTATCTTTAGCTTATTTCATTTAAATTTTGCATGTTGTGTGTGGCTGCTGTGGTTTACTATTTCGTTCCCGTTTTATGGCCGAGTGCTACGTTCATATGTAGATATCGTATATTGTATACGGGGTAATTGCATTTTTATGCTTTGCCATTGTGACAGAGAATTCACATTGGCGTTCACATTCACATTCACATTCACATTCAACGTTCACATTCCTATTCCTATTCACATTCGCTTTCGAATTCGAATTTCTAAATTCGACATATCCATTCTAACGGCAATTTTATTATACGCTGACTGCATAGTTTGTACGGATGGCAATAACAACAGGAGCAACAACAACAACAACAACAGTTGCTGCCGGAAATGTTGCACTTTTACATTGTTTAAACTTTGACCCAAATATTTGGCTAACTTTTATTTCGCATTTTTTTTTTTTTTGGCAATTGCACTCTGAACTTGGGGTTAAAAGTCAGCTATCTACCTCTCTTTGTCTCTCTCTCTCTCTCTCTTTCTCGCTCTCTCTTTTCTAGTCGACACTGCGTATACGTTACATTTTGCTGCGTAACTTTTGCAAATTGTTTAACAAAATGTCGAAATACTTTTCATATTTGTAATTTGGCTAAAATTTAAGAGAGAGAAACTTCTATTTATGCATACGTTTTTTCAGTTTTGCAAATTGAGTTATTTGGCTGATATGGATAATAAATTGGCATGCATGGGCATTCTTTGCCATGAATAGCTTCACTTGGATATGATTAGTCTACAAGATTTGTGTAGTGAAATGATATTTCTGTTTCTGTTATAGCTAGTATAACACTTTCGAGTTGTGCAATGTGAAAGTCATCGGATGGCTTAGTTTCTCATTGTTTTGATGAGTATAACACTTCTATGCAGCGGAATAATCTATTTGATTATTATAACAGTTCTTGTCAAGTATGAGAGTCGTATAACAGTAAAATATTGCAAAGTATGCTAGTTGCTTATAACTTCAGTCCACTTATATGCTATGTTTATATGCTTATCTGCTCTCAGATCTATTCTATCTACTATAAAACTCCCACACCATATTTGAATATAATTGAAAACTGTGCTACTCACTTTGATCCTGTTCGACCTTGAAGGAGGCGCGTATAATATCATCTGCACTGGGATCCAAACGGAACTGGAATGGTGGTCCGTTGCTCTTCGAGCGATCATCGTCGTCGGTGGCCAGAATTTCGACCACTTTACGTGGCGGGACATGCTCCGGCAGCACCGGTCGATAGTCCTTGAGGAATTTAGGCGCATTGTCGTTGATGTCCTGCACAATGACCGTTAGCGTGGCCGTAGCCGTCTTCGGTGGCGAGCCATCGTCAATGGCCAAGATCTTGACCTGATGCCGGGGCACCACCTCACGGTCGAGCGAGCGTTGTATGGTAACCGAACCATTCTGATTGATGGCAAATTGTCGCTGGCGATCGGAGGAGCGGTCTATGGAGTAGGAGACCTTGCTCTTGCCGCCCTGATCCGGATCGGTGGCCTTGAACTTCTCCAGCTCGGTGCCCACCTTGGTGTCCTCGAACACGGACACCTCCACATTGGCGCGCTCAAAGTGCGGCTTGTTATCGTTGATGTCGCGCAGTTTGACCACGACCCACGAGTAGGCCACGTGATATTTATCGTTATCGTTATCCTCGCCCTTGTCGTTCACCTGTATGCGGAAGCGGAAGCCGTTGCTCTGCAGCTGATCCTCGTAATCGAGCGGCTGCACAATCTTCAGCGAGCCGGTGCCATCGTTGTTCCGCACCATGGTAAACTTATCGGCGCCATAGCCGCTGTTATCGATAACTTTGTATTGGAACTTGTTCGTCTCGTCCTCGTCGTGCACTGTGACTGTCAGGATGGGCATTTCGGGCAGCGCGGTGCCGTCTGTCTCGTCCACCTCCGTGAACCATTCGTCCTTGGTGAACTGCGGCGGCATGTCGTTAATATCCTTGACACGTATAGACGCCGTGCCCGTGCCCTTTAACCCCCCGCCATCCATTGCAACGACTTGTATCGAATAATCCGGCGTGCGCTCACGATCCAGGCAGCACACAGCCGTCTTGATCACACCCGTATCCGGCTCTATCTCAAAGATGGGCGATCCTGTCTCCTCCTCAATCACGTTCTTCTCTATCGAATACACCAGACGTGCATTCGAGCCCTCATTCGGATCATCGTAGTCCACCGCAGTCATTGTCATCACCACCATGCCGGCGGTTCCGTTCTCCGTTACATTGCCAAAGTAAACGCCTTGCGGGAAGATGGGCGCATTGTCATTGATGTCCTTCAGATTCACCTGCACGTCAGCATAGCCCACGAGTCCCTCGCCGCCTTCGTCCTGGGCAAAGACTGTGAAACGCCATTGCGGCCGTCCATTCGGTTGATCTCGATCCAAAGGCTGCAGAAAGAGAATCGGATTACAGATGCAGATAAATGCTGTGTGCAAATATTGAATAGAAAATGGAGTTACACGTGCAACGTGTGCTGTTCACCTGCCCTGGTTATTGTACAATTTTTAGCTGTCATAACCGCAAAACCGATTAACATCAGTGAAAAAAAAAAAAAAAAAAAAAAAAAAAAAAACATTGTTTGAGCAAATACCCAACAATTACACTTGGAGAAAAATTCGTATTTCTAAGTGTAAGCAATTGTAAGCAATTGATATGACATTCAAATTTTTGAAATATAAAAGAAAAATTTTTTGATAATAAATTCACTTTGCTCAATCTTCACAAAAATAAATTTTCTAGGAATAAAATATAAATAAAAAATAAAATTAAATTCATAGAGTAAATTCTTTAATTAATAATAATAATGTTATATTATAAAAATAATCCTAATATATTATATATTGAAATATATTTATAATATAACAGCTAAAACTTCTCTCCTAAAAAAAAAAATGCCTATATTTGGGCCTTGATATTTTGTGACTGTTATACAGGAAATTGCGGCAATTACTTATCTTTATACTGTATAAAATCCCTAGCTTTTTCTCCAAGTATACTACCAGGCTTTCGTTCCGAAAAGCGGAACAAGTGCAACTTAACGAAACTCCACCAGAAACGCGCCGTGTGTGTAAACCTGTGAAATTATCCATTCACAATGGCAGCCCACAGCTCAGAGCCGAGCTGTGGGTCGTCTCTGTTTTCCCGGTGCTGATTTTGACTTTGATATGCATATGCAGAGAGCATGGCTTGGCTTGAGTGATGGGATGTGATGTGTATGTCCTGGCAGCCATTACGCAACGCAACCCCAACTGGGAATGACGCGGGTGGGGGAAGGGGGCTAGGTTGGCTTCCACCTTTTTATAATAACACAAACGCGCAGAAAAAAAAAACCCCGATTTTAATCAGCACTTTTGTATCTCTCTTGGCTCATGCTGTTATGCAGTAAGCCAGACCCTGGATACCGACCCACATCCCGAAAACTGCCCGCCCGCCCCACCTGTGCGCCGGCTAGATCCTTACATGCCGCCTGACAGCCGCAGCCTGTAACGTAACGAATTCAACAATAACAGCAGGACATGCTGAAACAGAAGCAGGAACGGCTTTTCCTAGCGCTGACATTGGATTAGTCGTAAAAAATGATAGAAGCAAAAATCCCACAAAATACAACAAAAAGAGCCAAAGTCCACATGCGTCGTCATCGCTTTAATTTGCATGACAAATTTGACAGCATTGTTATGACATATTCAATTTAAGGGATTAGCCGAGCTACCAATCTGTGTAAGTGTGTGTGTGTGTATGGACTGATAGAGTTCGTTTTGCTATGCCCCATGCATGCGTGCTTTTTTCTTTTTCTTTCTCTCTAAATTATTATTTTACCCACAAAAGTTATTTGCGCTTTTAACTGCATATTTTAATACAATTTAATACAAACTTTAAAACAAGGGAAAACATTATTTTAAGTGTTTTTTGTGGATTTTTCATTTTTCCCCTTTCAGTTGGATTTTATGGGTATTTTTAATGCATTATCTAAGGGATAGTCAGTCTGCAGTTATTTCCATCAGTATGATGGTGTTTTACTGCAGCTGTTATAACAGTTATTGTAATGCAGTTTATTTAATAGAGTTAACAAATTTATAACAGATGTACACTAATCTGATTGAAAGAAAGATAAAGCCTGAAATTTTTAAAAAGTAAACAATAGAGACCTTGGCTGTCTACTGTCTACTATAACATATTACATGCTGCTGGTATTGTAACGTTTGAATATTCTTTAAAGAAGGCTCAATAATTGTCACTTATTTATTTCTGTTAAGTTCTCAACCTGTTATACTTCTATCTTTAGAAAACAGGTAAATTCTGGCTACTTATGAATATCCTTTTTTTTTTAATGAAAGCACTCGAGAGGCCACTTGAAATGCATTTCGAAGTGCAAGGACTACTTAACGGCGACATTATAATGAACAAAGCTCTCTTCAGTTAATTGACTTACGAAAACTTTCTTAATTATCAAACCACTTGATACAATTGCTGAATGCAAGTAGGTGATAAAGTGTTGGGCGCAAATATTCGACTGGGGAATACCCTGCTATGGAATATAACGAATGTATGTATACATATATAATAGATCGAAATTTGAGTATTTGAAACAAAAGAGAACATTGCATAAGCAATTTTGAAATTTAGGGTAATATATGGGTATTTACTAAACTAAATATTTTACATTGAGTATAATAATTTATCGAAATACATGAAATTTGTCGAAATCAATGAAACAAATTATTATCTTTCCCTGCAAGTCTCTTCTATTTATAGATTGACTCCTTACTAAAAAAATATATGTATATATATTTATGTCTCATTCTCATTCTGTTTGTTACACACACTACCGTACAAGCGTTACTCCCTCAATTTCACACTTTCAATGGATATAAAGAAAACATTTCACTCAGCAGAAAATAAGAGTTTTTTTTTTTTCTTTTTTAAGTGGGACACCATTGCATATCAATATGCATTGAGTTCGAGCTCAACAGCCTCAACTTAAATATTAAATAATGAGTTTCACGCGTCGAGTTAAAAGCGAATTGCATGAAAAAGGCAGGGGAAATCGTTAAAGCTGTCGTTGCATCTGCCTGGGGATTAAGTCGGCATTGATGGAGCTTAATCAGTGCGCATATTGCGCAATTATTTTCTGTTGCGGCGAACTCCAGTCTGGCCTGTGGCTGATGCATTTCTTTTTTGAATGTGGCGAAACAGGCATACCCTGTAGGCAATGCCGTGTTGTATATACTGATTACGAGTCAGTAGTTAAAGTATGTGTATTTTTTATTTGTTCTCTATTAAAATGATTTACATTGCGATATATATGAAGTCAAAGCTAAGTCAGAAACTAGATTCAGCCGTGAAAAGCTTGAATGATTAACATGAATAGCAGATCTTGCGAAGATTCAGGGTATCTATATAATGTGGAGACTCTGGACTAGATCACTCTTTCTTAATTAGCTTTATTCTTATGTCAAGTATTCAGGTTTTTCAGGGAAAATGTTAAGGTGGGAACATTTTTGATTTTGTAGTACTTTTTTTCCCATTATTTTTCTATACATGTCGCAGGGTATTTTCTGGCCATGCTCTCCCAGTCTGTCCCATCTTGTAGCTGATATATAAATATTTTTTTTTTCCACTTATTTGCCTGCGTGTTTGTTCGCGGTTTATGCTGACAGTTTGTTAATGCTTCAATTGCTGTATTCAAGAATGCCCTGGATTTATTTATAATTCTCTTTCCATTTTCCATTTTCGTTCATTTATTTATGTTTGATTCCCTCCCCATGAACTTACCTTAAGCACGAATATTTCGCCTGTTGTGCGATTAATGTCGAATTTGCTATTAGCGGGATTATCGGGATCTATGCCTTGGCCAGTTAGGAAATAGACAATATTCTGTGGACGATCCTTGTCCCCATCGGTGGCGGTGACCTGTTTGGCATCCAGCATCCAGGGCGGTGCAGTGGAAAGTAAACACCAAAGAAATACAAATTTCAATATTAGTTTTGTTTTTGCTAGATAAATTCTTGGTTTTCATTCGTTTGGAAATGAACAAAATACAAAACTGTAAGCGCATGCAGAAGCTAAGCTCTCAAGTGGAGATTGTACCCACTACAGATTTGTGCGCCAGATGGCGTATTAGTGCATTTCTATTGTTATTGCTGTAAATCCATATTGCATTTAAATTTCAGTAAAATATTTCATTAAATTAGTTAAACAAAGCCACTAAAAACTGTAAATGCAATGGAAGATTAAAGCGCATTAAAAATGAAATAAAACATGCATTTTAATTAGCAGTTAGCAGTTATATGAGTTAGTGAATGTGTGTGTGTGAATTAATTGTCAAAGTGCTCAATAAATTGATGCATGAAATTGAAGCTAGAATGCAAATAAACATTTAAAATATTAGAGTAAATTTATTTAATATGTAAATGAAATTAAATAATATTGAAAATTGCTAAAATATTTAATATCCAACACTTTACTAATTAAATAAAGTAGTTAAAATAAAACAGAAAATATTTCCCTTGAAATGTTCATAAATTGTTTACGTTTGCTAATTGTTAAATTGAATATAGAAATCTTACACCGGCTATACAATATATTTAATATACAAGTATGTGAATATTGTATATGTGTGCGTGTGCGTGTGCGTGTGTGTGTGTGTTACTGTTATCTTGTTAACATAATGTACAAGCGCTATTTGCTGTAGTTGTGTTAAATTAATTGTATAATGAGAACTGTACTATTGTTATACACAAAGACACATACACACACACACACACACACATCCACATTCACGCTTCATATATTTACAATACAATATACGATATGTGTGTTTGTCTGGCATAATTGTAAATATTATAGCGACCTGCATGATGGTGAAGGGCGTGGCCATTTCCTCGTTCAGACTGCGCTCGTATAGGGTTTGCGGGAATACGGGAGGCAGATCGTTGACGTCGCGCACGCTTATCACGATTGTTGTTTGATTTTCATTTAAACTATCCGATGCGACCAATTTCAGTTCGTACTAACGAAACAGACCCAAGCAAACAGCAACAACAACAATAATAACAGCAAGGGGTGTTTGCGTGTTCCGTGTAGCAGGGTTGACAATAAATAAAGCCATAAATAAGAAAAAACAAAGTCAAATCAAATAAAACATACAAAAAATAAAGCTAAAGAAAAATGGAATTATAAATAAGAGTCGTATATAAATTTAAATTTAAAAAAAAAAAAAAAGCAAATGTAAATGCGAAAAATAATGTCACATAAATTAAGAATAAATATATTTACATTTAAAGTCAACTATTCGATGCCATTTACAAATGTCTCTATAAATGATATGGTTTTTCTATATATTTGTCACTATTATCTGTCAGCTTATTTATTTATTTAAATATAAACTTTCTTGTTTATTATTTTTAATTGACCTTTCATTTGATAATTAGCTGCGCGTGCTTTATGTTTTAACAACACACGGAGATAATAGTTTGTTTGGCCAATTTTTTGCTCGTCAACCTTTGAAGCTTAATTAAATGCACCACAAAAATTTGTTTGATGAATCTTTTTTTTTTTTTTTTTTTTTTATTCTTTAATTTGCTTAGTTCAAAAGGCAAAAAAATGTGTACAAATATTTTGAAGAGGTTGCTTTGACAAATATAAATAAATTATTTGCTAACAAAAAAAAAAAAATATATATATGTATATGTATGAAAAAAAATATATATATGTATATAAAATATATATATGTATGTATATATAAAAAAAAAATAAAATAAAATAAAAAACGTCATCTAATTGAGTGAAAAGTATTTAAGGCTTAACATAATGAAGATAATTGAAATAAATATTTACTCTGGTCGCGCATAATTGGAATGCCATTAACGTAAAAAAATAAATTATTTTTTATTGCCTTATTTTGTGTGCTAAAAAAAAGTTGGGAAACTAATTCAAGCAAAATGCATGCACTTAAATCTATGAGCTATTTGGAGGCGGGTCAAACGTGGCGTATGCTTGATATACATATGCAAAACGGGATGAAATAGCGCTAAGCTACAAACTAGAAAGCAAGGAAAACAAGAAAACTCAAGACAAAAATCACAACTAATTTCAACTAGAAAAATCTTCGGAGTTTTGCGCTCAGATATATATTTTTTTGGTTAATGACCTGCAGAACACGTTTGGGCAGATTGCGATCGTCCTCTTCGGTGATCTGTGTGCGATATGTGGGCCGCTCGAATACTGGCGGATTATCGTTAACATCCTTGACATGTATGATGACTGTCGTATAGTTCTCCTTCAGATTATCGGAGGCAGCCAAGCGCAGCTCGTACTGTTGCGACAGAATGTTGTTTAATTAAAGCTCACCAAGCACTCACTTAGTTAGTTTAGTCATTTTCATTTGTCAGCATCGAATATGCATTTGCTATAATTATTTCCCTCTCTCTGAAAGTCTCACTTTCACTCCCCCGCCTCTAGTCCCCCTCAATTCAATCAAAGTGCGGCCAAAGTTGCCAATTGTTCGAAAATGCAATTAATGTTTCTACGGAATTTCTTCAATTCCGGTTGCGCTTTGTCCTGCACAACTTTTTGACCGCAGCGTCGTGTGTAACTAAAACTTGTTTGAATTGTTTAAATATTTAACTAGCCTCGCGGTGCACTTCGTGTGCACTTAATGAAATTCAGCGGGAATAGCACTTGGCCTTCGACTTTCTTAATGAATTTTCAGATCTTGCTTACATATTGAATTGCTAAATTGATTGCTCAAGCGTTACACACACACTCTCTCACACACACATACACCTTCTGCTTTTAGGTCTTGCGTTAATCAATGCAAGTCTTGTATTTGCCACATCTTACATGCATAGCTATTCTAATGTATTATTCACAAGTATATAACAGTTTACTATAATTAAAATTGGTTTTTAGCTTGTAGCTAATCGAAAACAGTTGCTGTTGAAAGTTACTTGCCGCAATTTTCTCTAAAGTTTTATACACATGTATAACAGCTTGTAATAAGCTTGGTTCAATGTGTGCCTAATAAGCGCCAGAAGCTTGCAAAATTTTTGTATATCAGTTATAATACTCTGTTATACGCATTTTCGTATAGCAGTTTGTATAAACTTTTTTGTAAGAAGCTAATAAAGAACTATCTTGTTAAGCACTTGCTCTAAAGTATTATACAAAAGTGTATAACACTTCGCTCTTTATTAGTAGTCATTTACTTCCTAATTAATCAATGCAAATGGCTCGGCCATTTATCACAATTCTCATACCAGATTTACTGCTGTGTTATACAAATATACATTTTTTTTTCTTATTTTTTCTATGCTCAAATGTATAACACTTTGTTTACGAAATATTGCTCAATAGCTTGAAAGTAATCAATGAAGGCTCTCAGCATAAATCTTCAATTACTTCAGATGTTTTGCCAGCTATGCATGTGCGTATAACAGCTTGTAGCTAATCAATTATTGTGCTTATGCTATTATATAACAGTTGGTATGCTAATTCAAATTTCACAGTTGACTTAACCGTTGTTTATATCATAAATATAATATATTCCTGACACAATAACAACCACATCAGTTGTCATGCTTAAGCATATAAAGGAGAAAAGGAGAGAAGCAAAACACAAATGGAGAAAATCTCGAGCTTACCCTGCGTCTCGTTTCGTAATCCAATGCGCCGGCCACATAAATGGCACCCGTCATATTTTTAACCGCAAAAGCGCCGCCGATGTTGCCGCTGGTGATTTCATAGCGAATACGTGAGGCTGGAAAATAATTGTTAGCAATTCGTTTAACTCAACTCAACGCCAAAGACAACATCAACAAAAACAGCGAAAAAAAAAAAAAAAAAAAAAAAAAATGTGTTCTATTTGTTGTCATACATATATTGTATATATATGTATATTTATATATATACTTACACTCATCGTGATCCTTGGCCGTCACAGTGAGCACTGTATGCTGAATATCCTCATTCTCATCTACTTCGGCCTCGTACAGCGACTTGTCGAAATAGGGTGGATTATCGTTCTTATCGGCAATGCCAATGCGTATGAATTTGGTGACTAGTTGTGGAAGGAGAAAAGAATTTCACATGTTTTTCTGTTAAATTGTCGTTCATTTTAAATCATCAAAAGTTTCTGTGAGCGAGAGGGCGGTTCGGTACTTGAAAGTATGTCTGGGTAAAGTATGCAATTATCACGTACTAGACACGAATGAATGAAAATTCTACAGTCAGCACAAAAAGTTGTCAGACGACAACATTTTTGACGCCTTCTATTCTATACGACGGCGACAATCACTTGGTTTCTATCTATTATGGTTTGTATGGTGTGCGTGTGTGTGTGTGTATAAGAGCTATTGACGCGTTTTGCATATTAAATGGTTGAAGAAGTCCTGGCTGCCTTCCTTCCAGGCTGCCGTTTTGTTTACAACTCGCCAAATTCTTACGGCTGCTCTGATGATGTAATTTATGAGTATTTGATGACAATTCCAATTGTATTAAAGTTTTCACAAGCTCGTTTAAATGAAACCAAATAAACGAAACTGAGCTTGGGGACATGACTGTTATATTGATATTTCCCATTCCGGGCGTATTCTCTTTGGGATAAAGAAATTGGCATATAACTCAATTATAGATTGTTTGGAATGGATTATTTTGTTAAGATTTTATCACGCTGTTGAAAATGCAATTAAATCATAAACTCTGTGAAATCTAGAACACATATTTGTTTCTCTCAATCTTGTTCTTTAAAACAACTTAAATAACTTGCTTGTATAACAGTTATTTTCGTTTCAATGTGTGACTTAAAATCTGGCAAGTGTTTGCTCGTCTGTATGACACTTTTTACTTTAAGTCCCTTCATCCAAAAGAGCTAAGCATTAGGTGTCTCTATATGTATAACACTTAATCCCTCTGATTGCTTGAGTCAAGCGCTTACTCCCAAGTGCTATACATATTGACCGTCATTCTATTGTATAACAAGCACTAGCTCTCATTGCTCTACTCTCAAATATTCAAAATTCATTTTCTTACTTTAAATGGTTAACCTTTTGCTAGCGTGTATAACACTAAAGCACTCAAGTTTCTGCATATATGCTTAACTATCGTTCCATTTCGTTCACTCTTTTACTCTTTGTATCTAATATTCACAGGTATTTGCTTGATGTACTTAATAAATAATAAATTTTCTTTAATATTATACGTATGTATATTCAGTATTGAATGCTTATTGTATAACACATTTTCTCAGTCTAACTCAATTTCTAATTCAACAACATCATTATACATTTTAATTATTATACACATACATACTATATACAGTGCTTGCTAGTAAGCATTAAACTCTCAAATATCTGGCATCTCTGCAAAGTATTTGAGAATGTTGCAATACATTTCGATCATGTTGCAGCATGTGTCAGATAACTTTCCCTGCCAGCAGCTGAGCCAGGAATAATTTAATGTGCTACTAAAGAAGGCCAAGCATGCTGGGCGAGTTCAAGACAGAATCGCTGGCTAGACAAGTGCAGCAGACAGATAGAGAGAGGGAGAGCGGGAAGGAGAGAGACACAAATATAGGGTCGAGTGACAAGTAAATTACATAAATCATTTATAATTGTTGAAGTAACAAGAACAACGAGGTTGGATTTAATTAAACAAATTCCCTCTACAAGCAGCAACAGAAGCAGAAATTGTCCAAGCAAAAGATTTGTAAATTTCTGTGGCACGTTGACAAACTCTGCCAGTCAAATGGGTCACACAAACAACTTATTAGCCACGTGTGTGCGGCTTTTGTCAGTGTCTGGGTCTGGATTAACAATTTATATATAGATATATAAATGCATACATATATATCTTTGCATGAGAGTCTGCTGCTCTGTGTGGACTTATAATTTGCATTTGCATTTGCCTGGCTTCGTATCTAGCGAGAATTATGCACATTTAGTTAGCAGCTTGACAATGCTACTGCAGCTGGGCGTACGTGTCGTATGTGTGATATGATCTGTGTGATATGAAACGAAATTTATAGCCAGACATTGCCTAATTGCCAACTGAACTGTAGTCGAGTGATGACATTTTAATTAAAACTTGATAATAATACAAGTGCAAATATATACTTAAACTTCGAGATGTTTGCTTGTGCTCTGTTAAACTGCGCTGTTAAGCTAACAGAGTTGGTTAATAAGACAGCATGCTTAATTTCAGTTTGCCATATAACGCTTTGTATAACACCTGTACATCAATGCCCTTAGTAACATTTTTAAATTTAATATTTTCAAGCGAACTGCAATTATTGCTGCTCTTCTGCGCCGTTATGAAATTAGTCGTCCATTGCATGTAGCCTTTGTATCATTTTTTTTGCCACTCCCTCTGTTAGCCCCTTTTGCACATATTAACCCTTCAGCGCTTGCACAATATGTTTTTACACTTCATTCATTTTTTTATTAAAATCTCCGCAGCATTTTTCCCTTCACTGACTTTATTACATCAAAACTCAATTTTTTTTTGCATACATTTTCATATATACATACATGTTTTCCTGTACATATGTATTTATTTGTTTTTGTTTTTTTTTTCCTGCGCTGCCCCCACGCATCGAAAGTTGACGTTTAACTTATGAACAATTTCAAAATGCATGTTATTTGAAGCAGATTCAGAGCTCGGCTGCCTGCTGGTGGCTCGGCCTCCTGCCACATGTCGCGAAGGGCTATTGGGCGCTCTGGCATGAAAGCGAATCAAATTATTATTGCTTTTTATGAGGAAATAATTAAAATAAAAAATTTAAAAAAGGCAAATGTGAGCACATCAAACAAAAACAAATATAGCAATAAAGCAAAGTGGATCGGAATATGTTTTTCCATATTGACTTCTTTTCACTTTATTCGGTGCTTAAAGCGCCATAATTTTGCAGTTGAACTGGTTTAAATTTGTGTGGCATTTGTTGATGAGGAAACAGGAAGTTCCTGATCAATAATGCGATTAAACTGTTATACGTGCATGAAAATGGGAGTGGCATTTAATTGCTGTTCATATTCCAGTTGAAGTCAGAGGGAATAATATTCCAAGTATTATTAATGCAAACTAGCCTGGAATGCCTTACGCATATATAACTGCTTATAACTGTTATACTTATGCGAGTAACTGAATTCAATTTTTTGCATATAATGAATTAATTTTCAGCGAATTTTTTCCTTTGCCTGAAGGAGTAAATAAACAATACACATATCTGTTATACTGCAACATTTGAAGCAATTTCACGCTGAAGGCAGAGATGTACGCAAATTGGAAATTAATTCAATACAATTTTGCTGAAACTACTCTCAGATACTTTTCGACTCCAATTTAGTGCACCTAACAAGATTTCTGTCATCTGAACGCTACTTTCATGTGCTGTATAACAGGTTTGCGGGACAAGAAACGCATAGCTTTCTTGATTTGTCATGCTGTGTGTGCAATGTTTGGGCAGTGCTGCAAAACGACAAATGTTTGACAAAAGACAACGATATTTTGGTACACAGCAGCCATAAGAATTGACACTGACGGGAGTGTTTTAGAGAGTCAAGCCTGAGTGAGTGGCGAAATCAAAGTTGAACTTTATCACTTACTTAGCGTAGCTCCCATAAAAGCTGTCGCAGCTGCTGCAGGGTCACAGTGTGTGTGTGTGTGTGAGGGTGTGCGTGTATGCCCAAATAAATAGTGTTCCATTTGCCCAGTTGCCATCTTTAGTTGATACGCTTTGCTGCACTCGCTGAAACCTTCGCCCCCTGCCAACCCTTTTGGAAGTCACGAAATTTATACGCTGCTCTTTCGCGCACTAAATATATATGTGTACATGTGTGTGTATATGTGAGTATGTGTGTGTATGCCATATATTCACATCAAAATCGCAGCTGCCATATTTTTGACACGCTTTCTTAAACAATTTTGGCGCGCTGCTCAACTATTTGAGTGGCTCCTGTTATACTCTCACTTAGCTGAACGCTCCACACACTAAAAAATTTAAGCTGAATGCATGTTAGCTAACATATGTTATGGTATGCTTATGCTATTAATCTGCATATCGAGCTAGAGCATTGTTAAAAGGATGATAAGATAAGATACTGTTATATGTTAGTTTTTTGCCTGAAGTCTGTTATACGTGCTATAGATTTTTTTTTTTAAGTACTTATAATAAATATACGTGAAGTTTGTTAAGTGGTGGTACCGGGAATATTATAAAATTGTTTTGAAAAGAGTTATTATTCTTGTTACTCTGAGAAAAAATAAATTGATTTTCGAAATTGTTATACTTCAGCTGCCTTTGCTTGCTATACAAACAACTTAGAGCTTGTTATACACAGACATTGGTATCGCTTTGTAGACTAATTGCCAACCCGTAGGTCTTTGCTCATCTTCATGTTTGTACAGCGCTTTGGTAAACACAATGTGTATGAGAAATCACAACACGATTCTCTGGCCAACGGAAGCGGAAATGTCTTGGCCATTAATGGCGCTTAATGCGGCCTGGCCATAAAGTCAGCTAACTGCATGTCCAAGTAGATATCAAACGTGTGCATAGAAAGAGAGCGAAACAGAGAGAGAGAGAGAGAGAGAGAGATAGAGAGAGAGAGATAGAGATAGTTGCAACAACAAGTGCAGCAACTACAACTGCTTACTGCTTACAGCTAACGGCATCTAAATTGTTGCAAATGTTTTATTGCATTTCTTAAAACTGTCCTCGTGCCACAGCTTCTTCCTGCACTTCCGCTCGGTTTTGTGGCTGTTGGTCGTAAAACTGGTTGGAAATGCATTTGTCGCTTGGTTGGTTGCTTCGTTGATTTTTTATGATTGCGGCCAGCGCAGCGGGCAGTCGATGCGTCGTTGGCCCGCTGTCCTCCAGCTGCTCGCACAGGCAGCTGCCTTGGAAAATGTATGCAGCATGCGAGGTGCCACAATGTTGTTGCGGTTTCTCTTTGCCTTGCAGTCCACGGCCTTCATAAAATTCTCCAATGATATGATTGTCATGTTTGCGGTTTCTGGGGCTATATTTCTCGACCTATTTTCCGATTTCGCCCAAATAACAGC